TATAACACTGGATTGACCTAGAGTATCTCATCGAATCCTCCCAACCACCCAATTTAGTAGGTGTTATTACTATTCCATTTTGACAGATGAAAAAAAAATAGGCTTAAAGAGATGGTTACTTGTCCAAGGTCAGGTGCTACTCGATGAAAGCAGGATTGATACCATGCAGGTCTGTCTGATTCTAGAGCTCATGGTCTTTCCCAGAGACTGGCAAACCTTTTTCATAAAGTACCAAATGGTTACCATTTTAGGTTTTGTAGGACATACAGTTTCTGTCACAACTACTCAACTCTGCCACTGTAGCATCAAAGAAGCCACAGACAATATGTAAATGAATGTGACAGTTTCCAATAAAATTTACAAAAACAGTGGGAAAGATTTGGCTCGCAGACTGTAGTTTGCTGATCCCGGCTCTCAACAATTACACTATTCTGTTATTTTTTTCCCCTTTAATCTCCAAAGTTTTCAGTTTAAAAAATATTTATAGCATTGTTTCTAAGCACAAGGCACTGAGCTCGGTCCTGGAAGGGATGAGGAAGACAAAGCCCTGCCTTGAGGGACTTCAGATGCCAAAGATGGGACACAAACACATCTATAGCACCAAGCTGACTACTCAGTGCCAAAAGAGGGGTATAGACTGACTGGAGCTTTTCTTGAACGGACACATGGTGTTTTGGCGCAGTAGGTGGCAATGGCATAAGCTTTCCAGTAAGAATCACAGGCAGAGATGGCAAGGAGAAAGTTGCAGACAGAGCAGCAGCACAGGCAAGAATATTTCTATCCATTTGTCACTCATCCTTTCTACCCTTTACCACTATTCATTTACTTCCTCTCTCTTTTCCTTGCAATAAACATATGCACTTTGGTCCAAATCTTTTTGTCTTGTACCACACCTACTCTCTCCCTTGCTTTTCTTCCCCCCCCTTTCCTTTTAAAAATTATTTATTTTTACTTCTTGATTACTGATCCTGTTCTGCACTGGGTTCAAGGCACATGTTTACATCACAAACTTCATTTGAAGTTTAATTCATGTACATCAATATAGTTGACACATTAAGGCAAACAACATTGATGTAACATTAAAAAATGCCATTTAGATTTAATGCAATCTCTATCAAAATACCAGCAGCATTTTCCACAGAACCACAACAAACGATCCTAAAATTTGTATGGAACCACAAAAGACCCCGAATAGCCACAGCCACCTTGATAAAGGAGGCATCACCATTCCAGACTTCAAGTTATATTACAAAGCTGTCGTAATCAAAACAGTATGGTACTGGCACAAAAAATAGACACACAGATCAATGGAACAGGATAGAAAACCCAGAGACAAACCTGTAATTATATGGTCAATCTTCGACAAAGGAGTCAAGAACATGCAATGGGAAAAAGACTGTCTCTCCAACACATGGTGGCGGACAGCTACATGCAAAAGAATGGAACCGGACTACTTTCTCACACCATGCACAAAAATAAACTCAAAATGGATTAAAGACTTAAATGTGAGACCTGAAACCATAAAAAAAAAAAAAAATCCTAGAAGAGAGCACAGGCGGTAATGTCTCTGATATCGGCCATTTCAACATTTTTCTAGCTATGTCTCCTGAGGCAAGGGAAATAAAAGCAAAAATAAACTATTGGGACTACTTCAAAATAAAAAGCTTTTGCACAGTGAAGGAAACCAACAACAGAACAAAAAGGCAACCTGCTGAATGGCAGCAGATATTTGCAGATGACATAGCCAATAAAGGCTTAGTATCCAAAATATATAAAGAACTTATACAACTCAACACCCCCAAAACAAGTAATCCAGTTTAAAAGTGGGCAGAAGATATGAACAAACATTTCCCCAAAGAAGACACACAGATGGCCAACAGACACATGAAAAGATGCTCCACATCAGTCATCATCAGGAAAATGCAAATCAAAACTATGATGAGCTATCACCTCAGGTGCCTGGGTGGCTCAGTTGCTTAAGCGACTGCTGTCGGCTCAGGTCATAATCCTGGAGTCTCAGGATCACGTCCCGCATCGGGCTCCCTGCTCAGCGGCGAGTCTGCTTCTCCCTCTGACCCTCCCCCCTCTCGTGTACTCTCTCTCTCAAATAAATAAATAATAATAAATAAATAAATAAATCTTAAAAAAAAACTATAATGAGCTATCACCTCACACCTGTCCCAGTGGCTAAAATAAAAAACACAAGAAACAAGAAGTGTTGGCGAGGATGTGGAGAAAAAGGAACCCTTGTGCATGTTGGTGGGAATGTAAACTGGTGCAGCCACTGTGGAGCCACATACTCCATACTGGGTGTGGAGGTTCCTCAAAAAACTAAAAATAGAACTACCCTACGATCCAGCAATTGCACTACTGGGTATTTACCCCCAAAATACAAAAACACTAATTCAAAGGGACACATGCACCCCAATGTTTATTGCAGCATTACTTAAAATAGCCAAATTATGGAAACAGCCCAAGTGTCCACTGATAGATAAACAGATAAAGAAGATGAGGTATAGATATAGGATGGAACATTGTTTAGCGATAAAAAGAATGAAATCTTGCCATTTGCAGCAACATGGATGGAGCTAGGGAAATAGGTGATGGAGATTAAAGAGTACATTTATCATATGAGCACTGAAAAATGTATAGAATTGTTGAATCACTATATTGTACACCTGAAACTAATATTACACTGTATGTTAACTATATTGGAATTAAAATAAAAACAATTAATGAAAAAGAAAGAGAAAGGGAAAAAAGCATACCTGGATTGAAGTTCAAAAAAAAAAAAAAAAAAAGGGAAGGAAAAAATGTCATTTCACACAAGTGAAATATTAACTAACTTCTGTCAATTCAGTCAAGGTTGGTATCCCCTAGTCGATTCTGGGCAGTCAATAACATCCACTGTTTGACCAATTTAATCTCCTGTTTCTCATACTCGCCCATACCACTAGTCTGTAATGCACCTCTCTCTTTTAATCTTCTTATAATTTTTTTCTTCCTCTCTTCCATCCTTCCTCTTTCTTGTACGTTTTGGATTGATGTCCCTTTTTTCTGGAGGCATGTTATTTTCTTTCCCCTTTCTGAAAAATATCTCTAAAAAAATTCTTTGTTCATAAATTCAACTAATATTTGTTGAGAAATTACCATGTGGCAGGTCCTTTCCTAGGTGCTGGAATACATTATGGCAGTAAACAAAATAGATAAGTAAACTATGATATAGAAAGTGTTAAGTGCCACGGAGAACAACTTCTTAGAATCAGGAATTCGGGTGGTATGTCTACAATTTTAAAAATCAACCAGGGAAGCTCATTAAGAGATCACTTCAGCAGATAGTTGAAGGAAGCAAGTTATCAGCTGGGAGAGTGTGGAAAGTTCCACAAAAAAGGAATAGCATGTGCGAAGTCCTGAGGGAGGAGCGTACTTCCCCTGATGGAGGACTACAAGGAGACCAGCCTGCGGGGAAGAGACAGAAGTGATCAGGGGTGAGCAGGAGGTGGGACACAGACTATTTACGGACTTTCCATTGGAAGAATTTTGGCTTTTGCTTTGAGTAAAATGGAAATCCTTTAGAGGGTTTTGAGCGAAGTGAAATGTGGACTTATACTTTTAAAAAGATCTAGAATATAGGGAGGCAAGAGAAGAAGCCAAGAAACCAATCAGGATATCGCAACATTCCAGGCAATAAATTTGAATATTATGGGGAATGTTTTCTGAAGAATCAGAGTAGTTACAATTGAGGATAGAAAACTAAGGGGCAAGATCTTGATGCATGACAATACATTTTACCAGTCCCTGCTCCTCAAGGAAATATTGAGTGATTTTGCCCTGCTAGTCTCAAGATTGTTAAACATTTTGAATTGCCTTTTGCACTTCCAGGTGATCTAATGCCTGGTACATAATTGGCACACAGAAATGTTTCTGAAATGAATATGCAGTCAGCTGAACTGGTAATGCTGAATTACGTTATCATGTAACTTGCACATCCGTGACATACTTCTCTTGCATACTCTGGTGGTGTTTACTGTGTCTTTAAATTTTCCTTAGCAAAGAACATCAAAAGTGCCACATTATAAACACACTCCTACTCTTCAAATCGAAATGTCCCATAGCAATTTGTACAGTTCTCTGTCATAGCAGTTATCATTTGCCTCTTTTGTCTTGAGTTCCTTCAAGGCTGGGGTGTCCCTCCACCTAGCGCAGGGCTTGGTGACAATATCGAAAGTATACATAATACGATAAAGGGTAGTGGAAAGAAAATGCAGGAATTACCAACAACCAGCCACAGAACCTTGTCTGATTCTTGAAAAAATATATTCATTTCCCTTAGGAAAAAAAAAAAAAACAATTCTTACCCTACTGCTGCAGAATTCAGCTACTTGACTTCTAATTCTATTTTAAGCCCTGGATGAGCTGGAGCAACGTATTGTCACCCTACCTAAGGTGCCCGGTAAATGATCTGGTGTCGCCAGTCAATGATCACGAAGTACTGGGAACCGAGCTCTCAGGGTCCGAGACTTGCGCTGTGCCGACAGACTGCTCCACTTTCCAGCTGGTCCACGTAGGGGTCCCCATCAACCCAATTCCACAGCAGGATGAGGTCTTCAACCTTATCCTTCCAACGAGCCTCTGAAGACTCTCCGACCCCCCCCCCCCCCCCCCCCACCCCCCCCCCCCCCACGTCTCCCTCAGAGCGCACCTGTCCCTGTACCCCTTCTTGCTCAGGCCCCTCCCCCGCCCCATCCCCCCTCAGGGGGCACGTGTCCCTGCAGCCCTCTTGCCCGGGCCCCCCACGCCCGCATCTCCTCCTCAGGGTGTCCCTGTCCCTGTCCCCCTGCCGGCCGGGCTCCTCCTCCCCCACCCGCCTCTCCCCCCCAGGGTGAGCCCGGGTCCCCGGCTCCTCCTCTCAGACCCGACGCCCTCCTGTCGCCCCTCCCCCTCCCTCCCCCCGAACTTCCGCTCGCGCCCCCTCCCCTCAGGCGGGACTTCCGCTCGCGCCCCCTCCCCGCTCGGCGTCGTCGCTGTCGCGGCCCGGGGGAAGGCTGGAGGCCCGTCCTCGCGCTCTCCCTCCGGGTCTGGGCTGCAGCGGCGCGGCGGCGGCGGCGGCGGCGCTGTCCAGAGGCTGCGGGGCGCGCCCCTCCCCCGCCTGCGCTGCCCCCGCTCCTCCTGCTCCTCGTCTTCGCCCGGCTCGGTGAGCCGCGAGCGGCAAGATGGCGGCGCCCAGGCCGCCGCCCGCCCGGCTGTCCGGCGTCATGGTGCCCGCGCCCATCCAGGACCTGGAGGCCCTCCGCGCGCTGACGGCGCTCTTCAAAGAGCAGCGGAACCGGTAACGGCCGGGCGGCGCGGGCGAGCGGGGAGCGGGCGCCCCTCCTCCCGGGCGGCGGGCGGCGGAGGCCTCCGCGGTGGGCCCGCGGGGCCCTGGGAGGGAGGGGGCTGGCCTCTGCCCCCCACCCGCCGGCACAGGTGCGGAGCCGGGCGCCGGGAGGGGACCGTTCCAGACGAGCCCGGTGCCGCCTGCCGCCCGGCTTGCTGGCCGAGCGCGCGCGGTGGGCCCCGGCCCGCAGCCCCGGCGTGGCCCGCAGTCGCGCAGCGGCGTGTCGTGGCGGGGACGGGCGCGTCGCAGAGGAGCCGGGGGGCGGCCGCCGTGGACCGCCGTCGCTGCGCGGTGGGGACGGCCTTCCGGGGCCGGGGGCAGCGGGGGCTCCCCGGGCCGGAGGGCGCGGGCCGCTTCAATTCTGACCGCCTTCGGCGTGGGGGCAAGATAGGCAAGTGCAGGGGGGCCCCGGCCCCTGGCGGACCTGCTTGGTTCCTGGCCTTACAGCCTGTGTGTTACTGGGCGACGTCTCCAAGCCTTTTGTTTTTTGCTTTTTGTCTAAAATGGGAATGTAATCTATACCTTCATGGCGGGATTGTACAGAGGGATGAATGAAATAAATAAAGCATGTGAAAATACGAAGTATGTGGCGCTCTCAGTCAGTGCTTGTTTTACTGTGTTTCGGTCTCTCTGGGCCCCAGTGTCCTCATCGGTTTCCGTGGGAATAACGTCGCACAGCGTTTCCCTGGGAGGATTGCCGTAGGGATTAAATGAGATAATGCGTATCAGATCCTTAGTGCGTAGCACTGAGTAAATGTTCGCTGGCATTCTTACCGTTTGATACATGCCTTGACGGTCCCCCATGTTCCAGGCTCTGTGCTGCCTGATGAAGTTAAAAAATGAAGTCCTTTGCTGGGAAGTCCTGTTCTGGGGGGAGCTGGCAGATAATTTTATCGTGGGGGGTGTGTACAAAGCACAGAAAGCTGGGACAGCTAGACGCGGGTTGGTCCAGATGATCAGCCCCTAGAGGCCCTCTAATCTTTAAATGGGACAGCTTGGTCTGAGCACTTCTGCTCCTTTAGATCACAATAGAAGCATTGAGCTTTTGAAGGCGTGGTAAAAGCCCAGGGTACTATGTGGGCTTTTGGGGAGATAGTTAATTGGTAAGATGCTCCTGGGAGATTTGTCGACTGAGTTAATGCTTCAGCACATCTATACCTTGGTGGACCTCCCTTTTAGTTGCTTATCAGCCTTCAGCCATTTACTGAGCACCTACTCTGAAACAGGTTCTTTGCTAGGGGCTGAGGGTATAAAGGTGAATGTGGCATGATTGGTCCCTTTTTTCAAGCAGGGTAGGGGAATCGCTGTGTAAACAAATTATAATGGTCGAGACAAGAAGGTGGTGGCACAGAGGGAATTTGTGGATCTGTTAGGTAGACGGTGGGCAAGGAAAGGCTTTAGATTATTTTGGCTCTACAGCTTACAGATGAGAGGGCTGATTAGAACAGTGTATGCAAAAGGATCATATGCAGATTTTGCAGGGCTCTTGAGAGGATTAAACGAAATAACATAGGTAAGGTGTCTGGTACAGAGGAGACACTCAAACATCAGATCCTTCTTTATAACCTTTGAGATAAAAATCCAAGACCCTGAGCCATTTTACAAGGCCCTTCTTGACTGTCGTGAGGGGAGTGGAAGGGGAGCCATTGAAGATTCTTTCTAGGGGGTGGCAAGACAAGTTCTGGGCGTTAGAAAGAACTCTCTGACTGCCATATGGGGGGTAAATTAGGGAGGGTGAGGCTAGAGGCAGGAGACTTAAGCTGACGCAGAAGCCCAAGCGAAAGAGAAAATTGCCTGAACTAGGACATTTTTAATGGGGATGGATAGGGTAAATACTGAAAAATATTTACAAGGTTGGGTGGACAGGCATCAGGGTCCAATTGGATTGTTGGGGGAGAATGAGCAAATGAAGCTTTCCACATTTGGCTTGAGCTTTTCTGGGTCAGTGTCCTTGTTCCAGGCAGAGTTTGGAGACCAGGGAGAGGTGAACTGGCGTGCAGGTCTTGGGATGGGGAGGCAGGATTGTGTGGTGGTGCAGAGAGCCCTCCATGAGGGTTTGTAAGGACAGGCTGTTGGTTCTGGTTCTGTCACTGCCTCTCTGTACGTCTTAGAGCAAGTTCCTAGTTGCTTCTCCAATGCAGGTGGACCCAGAGGGAGGATGGGCCAAGGTGCCAGGTGCTGGATGGGACGCAAAGTGAAGCAAAATGAGGCCTCGGAGCGGCATGTAGAAAACACCAGACAGAACAAAAACAGACTGAGCAAAGTAATTGATGGAACAGAAGATGAAAATCGTGGCTGAAGTAATATATTTTGTGGTACTTCCCATATGTTTGATATTACAAACACTAGCTTCTGTGGTAGCTGAAGTAAGAGAAGCATCCTGAGGTGGAAGAACAAAAACTTGGGAACCATGTAGACCTGGACAGGACTTGTGGCTTATCTCTCTGGACTGACTTCTCATCTTGAAAATGGGGATGAAACTGCTCACTTTGCAGAATTATCTTGAGGATCTGTAACATCATATGTAGAGCATGGTGTTTCATGCCATTTATTTAATACCAGCAGTTAAAAAGTGGTTGGGTTGTAAGTGACCGAGAACCCAATTGTGTTTAATCTCTTGCTTTTTAGAAAGCAGTTGCAGCTGTTTCAAAAGTTATAATTTATTCTAATTTTTAGGTTTCCAGGGAAAGGGATCCCAGGCTCTCATTACAATTTCTAGCACCCCAAAGTGAACAGATACTCATATCCCATTATAATGGTTTTTGATGTTCCACAAATTCTTTGATACTCCATCCTTCAAGAGGAGGAGGTTAATTCCTCTCTCCTTTGTGGGCTGAATTTAGTAACTTGCTTTTATTATAATAATTACGGCGGGAGTTGACAGTGTGTGACTTCTGAGACTAGGTCATAAACGGCAGTGCCGCTCCCGCTTTGCTCCCTCTTGAATCACTGACAGAGTCAGCTGCCATGTCATGAGGACACTCAAGTATCTGTGCAGAGAGACCTGTGTGGTGAGGAATGTGATGAACCATCTTGGAAGTGGATGCTCTTTGTCCAGGGGAAACTTTCACCCCTCTGTGCAACCTCAGGAGACCCTAAGCCAGAACCACCCCAAGCAGCCACTCCCAGATTCCTGACCCTCAGACCTGCGCGAGACCATAAGTGTTATCGTTTTAAACAGCTATGTTTTGGGGTAATTTGTTATATTGCAATAGATCATTGATATACTAATCTAAATTCTTCATGCTCTGGATTCCATAACCCACTTTTTGAATAGTATCTTAATCACAAAAATCCATAAAAAATTGCTTAGAGTCATAAAATACCAGTATTAAGATACTGGGTGGTGCCGCCAGTTAAGCCTCTGACTCTTGGTTTCAGCTCTTCATGATCTCATTGTGAGACTGAGCCCTGTGTTGGACTCTGTGCTCAGCCGAGGGGTCTGCTTGAGATTCTCCCTCTCCCTCTCTGCCCCTCCTGCTGGTGCTCGTGTCCACTCTCTCTGAAATAAATAAATCTTTTAAAGAAAAGGGTAATACTCAGCTATTCTCTGTGGAAGGTAATTCTGTTTCTTACTTACTACATTTGTTTCATACCTTTTGTTTAATGTACATACCTGCATTTTTAACATTTAACAAGTGATTTTTCTTGCTGTGCTGGGAGTCTTTGCAAGTCACGGCTCAGTCGTTAAGCGTCTGCCTTCGGCTCAGGTCCTGGTCCCAGGGTCCTGGGATCGAGCCCCGCATCGGGCTCCCTGCTCTGCGGGGGGCCTGCTTCTCCCTCTCCCACTCCCCCTGCTTGTGTTCCTGCTCTCGCTGTCTCTCTCTGTCGAGTGAATAAAATCTTTAAAAAAAAAAAAATAAATAAATAAATAAAATAAATTCTTTCTGAAACAAAATAAGATATAAGTACATTAAAAATTCTATTTTGGGTTTTTTGCTGGAGGTTTTCCAACCCTTTAGTTACCTTCCTGGTGTATCTCTATATCATCTCTCTCTGTGATGTAGGCAGATCCCCAGGTTAACATGTAGAGTTGAATGAAATTTGTTGTCTTACTCTATACCTCCACTGTCCATTAAGTAGCCATTAGCTGTATGTGGCAATTTAAATTAATTAGAAATAAGTAAAATGAATAATTGTGTTCCTTACTTCCACTAGCCACATTTCAAGTACTTGGTAACCACATGTGGTTAGTGGCTGCCCTTTTGATCACTGCAGATGTGGAATGTTTTCATCTTTGTAGAAAGTTCTATGGGTAGTGCTGCTCGCTCTTTTTTTCTGTGGAGAAGATTATGTTCTGGTTCTTGAGCATTTCTGAAGTAATGTAACATTTGGATACTACTTTCTCTAAATTCTCAAACTTAAACTGATACGTCATTGTTCTTCCATTTGATAAAGCTTTTTTTTTTTTTTAAGATTTTATTTATTTATCTGAGAGGGGGAGCACAAGCGGGGAGGAGAGGCAGAGGGAGAAGCAGACTCCCCGCTGAGCAGGGAGCCTGATTTGGGACTCGATCCCAGGACCCTTAGATCATGACCTGAGCTGAAGACAGATTTTAACTGACTGAGCCACCCAGGTGCCCCCATTTGATAAGCTTCTTGAATGAAGTGAGCATATCACATTCACTGTATCTCTAGCATCTAGCATGGAGTCTGATAATTAGAGGTGCTTGACAAATTTTTGTGGAATTGCTGGTATTTGTGTATTGCTTATTACTCATTGTGCATGCTTGGTCTTTTCTTCCAACCTCATGTAAAATATATATGTCTGTAGAGGCATATGTGTATGTATGTATGTATGTGTACATATATATTTTTTTAGCTTTTGTTAGAATGGCTTATTTTTCCTCTTTAATCTGTGTTAAGTTAAAATTGTTTTTCTGGGGGTGCCTGGGTGGCTCAGTTGGTTGGGCGTCTGCCTTGGCTCAGGTCGTGGTCCCGGGGTCCTGGGA